ATTTCAGTTGAACTATTTCATGAAATGTTGATTGAAATCAAGAAAATTCAGATGAATATATTTTTCAATTCTGAATTAATTGAAAATACAAGATTTCACTTGAATTTTTAAAGAAACTTGAGATTCAATTCACTTTTTCTCCTTAAATCGCATTCAATGTTGTTTTCCGGAAAATCCAGTCAAATTTTTTTAACACTGTAATTGAAACTTCAATTCTATAATGTTCAAGTTTCTCACTGATTTCGGAAAACATGAAAAACCCAGTTTGTTGGAATTTGCAAACTAAACAATTATTTTTTTGGTAATTTTCAATTAACGATTTTGTTGGCCCGAACAAGACTTTTTTGAGAACTTGTTCGTTTTTCTCTCAGTGTATACTATTAGAAAAAAATGAAATTTCATGGAGAGTTGAGTACTAATTTTCAGGACAGTAACAGTGAATGCGATTTAGGGAGAAAAAATCCTGAAATTTCAGGTTTCACTAAAAATTCAGTAAAATTCCACAATTTTAAGTGGCATAAAGACGAGAATTCTTCAATTTATTTGAATTCCCAGAAATCCCATGATTTTTCCCCCTAAATCACATTCAGTCCTGAATTGTCACTGTCCTAAAAATTCAAGAATACATTTACCCAAATTGTCTGTTTTCCTCTTCATTTCCCGGGAAAAATGGAATAAAAATTTCCAGTTCTGTTTGATTTTCCTCGAAATTCTGAATTTTCAACAACAAGATTTCCCGAAATTTCCGTGAAACTTGAACACGATAAAAATTTCCGGAATTCAGCTCGAAAAATTCAGCCGAAAATTTTCAACACCGTACATCTAAAAAATCTCTCGTCTCCTCAGTGTGGGACAACCCAAGTGACACTTTTATACCCACTCGGTGTGAATAGCACCGCACGCTCCGATCTCCGGATCGCCGACCGATCGCCCTTGCGCGCACAATCTAACCCAGCGCATATACCCCCATTAAAGTCGAGTGGATGCTTCCTAGGAGCTAAATGTAAACCCGATAGGATCGGTGTTGTGTCCGAGAGAGGAGCGACTGCAATCCGGTTGTTTTCTTCAGCCTCGCGGTATAAAGACTCGCCGTCTCTCTCTCTCTCTCTCGTGTATCGACGATCGTGCATTGCCGGCCACACACCGGGGTGTGGTTGCACGCGGACGGTTATTCGCGTGCACATGGACGTCTCTCGTTGTATGCACAGAGGGGAAGGGCATTTGGACCGTACGAGATGCAGTATGAGCAATGCAGGCGATGGTCACGCGTAAACTACCGGGTTATCCAGGTACATTATGATTGCAGCTCTCGCACGATTGCGAAGATAAAAATTATATTGAGAATTATAATTGCCGGTTAAAACGAGCAATTAAGGCCCGGGTGTAGTATCTTTCGAATGTTATCTGGATTTTTTAACATCTTTCGTAATCCAAAATTGTTAATTGAGTGGTACATCTTGTACAAATTCCCAAAAATTATGATAGAATGATAAAAAAAAAAATAGAAAAAATTATGAACTTTTTCAGAGAGCGTTTTTAATTGAGTTTCAGAATGAGTTGAAAAAAAGTGGAAATTACAAATAATTGATTCGTTGTGACAAATTATCTATTAGTTGTCATTTTCCATGGTGGATAACAAAACACTAACTCCTCATGGGAAGTGACAGCTAGGTATCTCAATTTTCAAAACAGTGGTATGTAGTCATCTACCATTTTTATGTGATGAAAGTCTGATTAAAAAATTCTCCAAAATATTACAACTTTTTTCAAAGAGCCTTTTCCGTAATAAATGTCTCTGTGCAGTGTGGGAAAAGGTTTACGAGATCAGTATTCCCCCTGCATGATATTGGGTGACAGGCCGCCATTTGTCCCCGTAAATCAGATACATTTTTCAATTTCTTGTTAGTCAATTTATTCTGAAAATTAAAAATGCTCTTTGAAAAAATTAACAATTTCTTCTACTTTTTTTTGATTATTCATTCATAATTTTTCAAAACTTCTGCACGATGCAGGACTCAATTGACAATTTCAGATAACGAAAGATGAAAAAAAAAACATCGAGATAACGTTCGAAAAATAATACACCCGGGCCTTAAATCGAAAAATCGGTGAAGAGGAAAATGAGTACGTGAGGGGATGTTCCCGGTGCTGTGACGTTTTAATCGTTTTCATGGTTCTAGGGATCTTTTAGGAAAAAATGCACCGCTGGAAAAAAATGAAATTTCATGAATGGTTGGGTAAATTTTAGAGCGGTGATTTTGAATTTTATTCGGGGGGAAAATCCTGAAATTTCGGGTTTCTCGGGAATTTTAATGAAATTTAAATTTTTTTAGTAGCAGAAAGACAAGAATTTCCTAATTTATTTGAAATTAGACTGAATTTTCAGTTGATTGACAATTTAAGAATATATCTACCTAAATTTTTCTAATTTCTATTAATTTTCAGGGAATAATTGACCTGAAATTTACATGTTCCATTAATTTGCCATTAGAATTTTGAATTTTGAATTATGAAATGCATTAAAATTTCAGTGGTACAATTCACAATTTTTTTTATTGGACCTTGTTTGAACCTTTGTAATCCTTAATCTGACCCTTGTGACCTTAATGTTGATCCTTAATCTGACCGCCATTATAACCGTTGTAACCCTTAATCTGATCCTTGTAATTCTTATTTAGACCCTTAATTTGACCCTTGTTACTCTTATTTGGGCCCTTAATCTGACCCTTTTGAGGCTTGAGCTGTTACAATCTCGCAGAATAAGGGTCAAAATAAGGATTACAAGGGCTCAATCCTTATTCTGATTTATTCAAGGGTCAATATAAGGGTCATGGGCGTCAGAATAAAGGTCGCGAGGGTCAAAATAAAGGGTTACAAGGGTTTCACCCTTATCCTGACTTATTTATGGGTTAAGCGACCCTCCTGACCCTTATTTTGACCCTTGCGACCCCTCTTCTGATCCGCATGGTCATGATTTTGACCCTCACGACCCTTATTTTGACCCTTGCGACCCTTATTTTAATCCTTGTGACCCTTAATTTTGGAGTCTTAATTTCGACGACTAAATTTTCGTCACCAGAAGTCGATTTGGATTTTTATAATATATGGAGAGACATCATATTAACATTTCATTGAACTATCGGCAATGAAAAGAATAGTTAAAATGAAAATACATACTCATTAAAAAATCGTAATTATCAAAATTAATTCAATTGAATTCTGAATTTAAAAAATCCCGTCTTCACACTCATTTCGATAGAAATATCGGACTAATAATGTATTCACCATTACCTTTATACTTTATCGTCGATGAAATGGACGTTACGTGCAAAGAGTCGGGGGGGGGGGGGGNGGGGGGAGGAATTGTTGGACCATCTGCCTGATGGTATGCATATTGGAAGAGGTCTCCGAGGCCGGCCAATCAGTCAGTTATTTTAATTATCACCTCTACGCATTTACAACTGGTTAATCGCTTTGAGATCTGCTGTCCCACTCGCTCACCATCGGCTCACCAAACGCGTTTTTGAAGCATAATCGCGGTCCATCTCCATAATACCCCCACTCTCGAGGTTTTTCTACTGCGCATAATGCCGGTAACGAAGGGACCCAGTGATCAAGACGCGAGATTGTACCTGCTTCTCTGACTAATTACATTCCTGACCCGGTGGGCTGGCTCTCCGTGGATCTATACGTGGATGAGTTGATGGCGTCTCTGATTTTTTGAATTTGGTGATTGGAAAAGGGGGGAATTAGGAGTTTGAGGTTACTAATTGGATTTTCCACGCACGAAAAATTTTTTTAAATAACTTGCGAATTCCATCAAAAATTTTATTTGTTTATTATTAATTTTTTTTTTCATTTTTAAAATTTTATTTTATTTTATTTTTTTCTGTTGGAAATTCTACATTTTCCAAGTTTTTTCCACTTGAAAGTTTTGAAAATTAGGGGAATTTTTATCGAAAATAATAAACCCTTCGATAAAAAGTTTATAGAAAAATTTTATTTATACATACTTGAATGAATTTAAAACATCACATTTGAAGAAACCATCAGAAAAATCATTTTCAGGGAAATTTCAAATCAACCAATATAGCTATCGTAGTCATCTTTTAACTACGACTTAATGGTATTAAAGCAAACATTTTACGCTATAATTGAATTCATTTGAAGCATGATATTCAAAGATATCCCCGGAATTCTGATTTTCAAAAAATACAAAATTTTTGCAAATTTTCAAATTAATCAAAATAACGATTATTATTATCGCCTTCATCTTCGAACTCGGTCAAAAGGACATCCAAACAAGTGTTTTAAGCCATCATTCAATCAATTCAGAAAATTTTTTTAGTTATCGTAGGACAACCGATTTTTGAAAAAAATCGAAAATTAAAAAACTAATCGATGAATTAAATTTTAATTGATGGCGATCGATAGGGCTCAAGAATACCTACATTTGAAACGAAAAGATTCAATTCCATCCATTCATCAGCGAACAATCGAAAAAAAATTAAATTTATTAAATTTGAACGATTACAAAGCTTTCACTCGGAATTAAAATGCTAAAAAAGTCTTGTGTTTTTTCTTTCTACTCATGTTTATTTCTACAAAATAATTGGTTTATAAATTGAATGGGGTCAGTGCCTCAGCAACAGCCACTCCCCCTGCTTATACATTTCGTACTCATCAAAACAAAAATGGACTTCCAATCGGAAGCAATGAATTCACTCCCCTAATGAACTCTTAAAAAAATCTGGCATCGAGGCACCGAATCATCGCCTTTGCCTCGCCGATGAATCGATCAATTTTCCCCCGACGAAGATTAATCACCGGCTCGTCCCCCTTTAACCGCTCGATACTCACAAACTCCGAGGGCCATTGGAATATCCAGATACACTTTATTACCTCGAACGATACCCACAACAATTCGGTATTCTCATTCGCTCGTCGATACAGCGCTGTGGAAATAAAATAAACCGATGAAAACGACTCTTTTGTTCCAGCAGAAGGTGAAATTTTGGTTCGCCACGGGGGGCGCTGGTTTCTGTATCAGCAGGGCGCTGGCACTCAAGATGATACCGGTGGCTGGGTGAGTGTGCATTTTAATTATTATTGAAGTGATTGAGTAATACGTGACTTTTAATTGAAGTCGATTTCACGTGATTACAGCGTCGATTTCAGGGATTTCGGGGCGATAGCGTTTCAATAACAAAAAATCATTTCACGATGAATAAAGTTTAATTAATAAGAGAGGTGAGGTAAACGGGTCGTTTAGTCCATATATTTTTGCTAATAAATTGGGAATCTGCTGACGAATGGAATTTCAAGGGGGATGTATTTTAATATACTGGAACACGAAATGTTTCACTTGAGGGAAATTAACGAACTTAATAGAAGGAAATTGAATATCTTTCACCAAAATTAAATTTTTGTCATGATCGTCAGACATATCCCTAGAAGAATTCGAACTGTTGGCAGGAAAAATATAATCTATTGTACGACAATCATTTGATCTGAGAGAACATCATAGGTTTATACCACAGAAAGAATACATTAACGAGGAAAGAATATTTTTTTCCCAAAAAAAATTTTCCCCTTGAAATTATTTAGTTTTGCCAATAACACAGTTTTCGGCAAGAAAATTGTAGTTTCCTCTTGAAATTATCATTTGTTCCATGGAAATTATAAGTGTTTATTGGACAAAGATATACACTACTCAATAACATTCACTTGATTAAACCGGAGCCTCATATAATTCTCTGTAGACCGAATGTATTTACCCGAAAGACATATAAATGTCTCACGAGAACAATTACTACTACGAAAATTATCATGTTTTGGTGGAAACTTTCATCAAGTGATTTCAACACTCCGAAATCATCTCTGAAATAATGTAATTTTTATTTTCTAATGTAATGTTCACAAATTGATTGTTCATCGTGAATTATGAGAAGAGAGTGCGCCAAAATGGAATATTTATCCTCATTAATAACTCGAGATTGGCCGAGTGAAATCAAACACTGAGAGAACAAATTAGCTCTGCTGAAAAACAATATGTTTCACGTGAGAATATTTGATGGAGTGGAACAGATTTACTTAAGGGAAATTAACCAACTTGACCAACTCGACTGAAGGAAATTGGATATCTTTCACAAAAATTAAATTTTTGTCGTGATCGTCAGAAATATCCCTAGAAGAATTCGAACTGTTGGCAGGAAAAAATGCAATCTATTGTACGACAATCCTTTGATCCGAGAGAACTCCCTAGGTTTATAGAAACAATACATTGAGAATTCATCCAAGTTGCAAAATTCTGGTGAAATTTATCTGAAGTTTGAAATTTCAGGGTTGCCCCCTTAAATCAACTTGAATATCCCAAATTTTCTGAATGCCTCAAGATTGTTTTTGCAATGTTCATTCACCGGAAAATTGTCCGCTGTATTGAGTCATTGTAACTGATCTCAATCGTTAATTACTCCGCAAGGGGAGAAATGTAGATGAATCGATGGAGGCGACGGCAAAAAATGTTGAGCGATTCATTCATGAAGTTGAGTTGAATTTCAGTTGGGCAATCCCATCACGTCTTCACCGAGGGATTCTGCCACCGCATTGTTTTTATTACTCTCTTTCCCCTCTCTTTCTTCCCCTCTGGTTTTTTTTTCACCCACCAGCATGCAACTCCCATTTAACCTGCCCAGTATTTTCATATTCTCGGTCCGGTATATATTGTATAATGCGCGGGGGCTACTGCAGCGACTCTCGAACGGGAATCGACTAGCCTTGTATAACTCGAAATAAATAAAGGAGGAAGACCTCTCCACCCGTACTCCCCGGATATTGTATGCTGCATTGACGGTGTGTGGGAGACTCGGGTGTGTCGAGGGGAGAGAGATGAGGAGTAGAGTGAAGACACGGTACAACCTTCGGCAAGTGCTTTGGACTACTTTTCTGTTCGGGAATACAAGTTTTGTTGGGGAGAGAAAATAGTTGACTTATTTATCGAGAAATTGCGTATACTGCACTTAGACTGCTCTTCTTTCATTTCAATTCATTGTTTATAATCATTCTCATCGCAAAACCAGTACCGACGAGAATCACATGTCCCAATTTATCAGCTGTTAAATTTTCATATTACAATAAATAATTTGCTCATGTTCTAATTTCTACGGTCACTGAATAAGACTTTAATCATAATTACAATTCAATTCCTTCTAGAACACACTTTAGAGGGTGAATTTCTGGAATTCAATGTTTGTTGATACTCTGGTAAAAGTGCGTGCCCACACTGTTATCAATTTTTAGTTAGTTCACACGGTAATTCAATTAATCTGTTGTTCATCTCATCAATATAATTCCGTGCTTAAAATATTGTCATCTCGTGTTTTCAGCACCAAATGAAAAATTAAAACTGCATTTGGAATATTGAGTCACAGCTTCTTTTTATTCATATATCAGAAATTTTGTGTTTGTATTAATATTAGGGAAGGGTGGGGTAAAATGGACCTTTTTGACTTTTTTTTAAATGTTCATGACGTGTTGAATTGTTCATGAAATGGAGTAATTTTATTTTTCAATTGAAAGAACAATGATTCCTCTTTGTGATGAGCTCAGACTGAGGTCAACTGATAAATCCGTTTCTGAGTTATGAATATTTTTAAAAAAGTCAAAAGTGTCCATTTCACCCCACCCTCCCCTATTTGTTCAAAGTGAAAAAATCGATCATCATTTTCACTATATTGCATTCAGATTCTCCTATCCTTGACGTCAAAAATGTAAGATAATCTCATTATTCTAGCTATTACACGGAGAGAAATATTAAATAAAAATTACGTATCTTTTCCGTAATTCCAGAGCGAAATGTTCTTGTAGGAAATTTTACGGAACTCTCACGGAATTTTTCCCGAGCGTTCCGTAATTTTTATCTGAATTTCCTGTGAAAAATTACGATACCGTCACTTAAATTTTCTGAGTCGATTCCATAATCGGTGAGCTAACTGTGAGTTCCGTAATTTTTACTGAACATTTCTCTCCGTGTAATTCTAATCAACTTTGTTCGAAGAAAACATGCGTAAACGCAATATTAAAAAAGTAGAATTATTCTATTTTCCTCTGACTTAAATGATTTGGACAATTATGATTCGTTTATTCATGTTTCATAGAATGGCATTCAATTCTCTTTTGTTTGTCAGGCGGGCTTCATGAAAATTCGACGCAAGACGATTGTACTCATGGAAACCGCCTTACATTCTCCATTCGTTCGAGATATTGCCCATGAGAAATTACTCTTCAAATTTCAAGTGAGAACTTCTAAATGTTTGATAATGAGTGATTCATATGAACTAGAATTTAAATTCACAACATGGAAAAATCAAAAGCAAATATTCCGCCTTCATGCGTTTGGCATGCGGTAAATTATCATTTATTTTCAAATTCTCTCGCCAAAACATCTCCCCACAGAACTAAAAAATATGATAATGAAATAGCGTCACATTTTTTGAAGACCTCCGTTCCGGACGTGGCGTTTCCTCACACCGGCAATTATCGCAGTCAGCGAGGCCCATTCTTTAGCTACCAGATGGGTAGGAGGCGCGTTCTCACGTTGAGGCCCCTCCGATGGTACCTTCTGCGGTAGTTACAGAAGACATCGACCGTTCCACTCAGTGCTCCGCAGAATCGCCTTGAGAATAACAACATAAACTTCATGTTCTGGCTTGTTCCCTTCCCCCCCCCCCCCCCCCNCCCCGTCTATTTTTTTCCCAAACGAATCGTTGACTCGATCGTATTATCTGTCACTCAGAGCGGAGCTGAGGGATGGAGGCGCATTGGGAATGACTGTGGAGTCTTAATTAACCCTTGATAAGCAAGAAAAAGACGAGTCGTGACAGCCATACGAGAGGTCTGCAAGACGAACCGTTGATTGCCGCCCACGCATGCAATCTGATTCGTTCGGGGAGCATCACTCGGTGAAGGACAAGTCCGTTTGTCTTACCCGCTCTCTTCATAATATCCTTTGGGAATTCGTCGAGACACGCATCGTAAAAAATTGAGGAATTTTTATGACGAATCAAATGATTTTTCGCTCATGTCTCTGCGACTCACAATTCGCGAGTGAAAAACCATTTTACTTGTTATGAAATTCCCTGCATTTGTCTCACTGGATGTCTCGATGACTTCTCAATAGTTTTCGAGATATTTCAATTGACTTTGGGGCATTGTAGCGACAGCGAGAGCACCTTTACTCGAGAGTGCATCCGTAGTACATGTACACATGACTATGGGCGTCGTATTCCCGCCATGCGCAGTGGTCGACTGCGCAACTTCCGTTGGGTTTTTCGTTACATGAGATTCACCAGGGATTACTCTACCACAGAATTTCGATAACGAGGGCTGAGATGTTCACACATCAAAATATCAAAATATGAAAATGATGCTGGGGTGTAATTATTGAGAAGGTTTTTATGATGAATAAAATGGTTTTTTACTCATGTATCTACGACTTATGATTTTCGAGATGTTATCATTTGTTTAATTAAGTAGCTTAAGACCTTTAGTTTCTGAGAGAGCGCGTGCACCGTGGGGCGCTCCTATCCACAAACGTCCACATCCTGAGAACTACGATTCGTAAAGATGTGAGTTGAAAACCATTTTATTTATTATGAAGTTCCCTGCATTTTTCACACTGGACGTCTCGATGAGTTCTCAATAGTTTTCGAGATATTTCAATTAACTTTGGGGCATTGTAGCGACAGCGAGAGCACTTTTACTCGAGAGGGCATCCGTAGTACATGTACACATGACTATGGGCGTCGTATTCCCGCCATGCGCAGTGGTCGACTGCGCAACTTCCGTTGGGTTTTTCGTTACATGAGATTCACCAGGGATTACTCTACCACAGAATTTCGATAACGAGGGCTGAGATATTTACACATCAGAATATGGAAATGGTTTTCACTCATGACATGTTATATGAATTATTTATGTAAACTTCATGATCTTTATAGTATATTTCGATACAACTGCGGAAAAGTGTTTCTTGGCTCGTGGGGGATTTATAGCACGAGCCGAAGGCGAGTGATGTAATCTCACGAG